AAAGGTAGGTACGGAATTCTTCTTCTTAGATATTAACTCCAAACGTGAAAGGCATCCTTCGGACATACCTCAAATCAAAATGGGTATTCTCTTTACTGCAGCTAAGAAAACAACTTATAATCTGCTTGCCAAGGACATCATAACCTAAGGCCAGCCAGCCCTTTACGAATGGAATAAATGAAAATGAAAATGAGAAACATTTCGATAGCAGAAACGCAGGGGGATGCGAAATTTCAAGCACATTCTCATAGAAGTGCCTACGAGATTTTTTTGACATAAAAACTCTGCCACTAAAGGCTTTGTTCTCATTCATGTTTAAACATATTTTGTAATTTAAATCATTCAGTTTATATGTTCTTCAATTGCGGGTGGTGTTTTGCATTTTCTTGAGTACAGTTGCAACCTGTTGTTGACGCTTAGCTGACAGACTCGTTCGATCATGATCACGCTTGCACAGCCATCGATCGCAGTGGTCGGCTTTGCCTGTTTGATGTCTGGGCATATATTATGTTGCATCACCTTTCCATGAATAGACACAACAAACGGCTGTTGTTAGCGGCTTTGGGGGTTACGGACTTTTTCAGCAGCATATATCTGCGGAAATGGTTATTTCATATGCGCCTGTATTACCAATTGAAATCCAAGCATAATCATGTTATCCGCTTGAATGAGACATTTTGGTATGCATTCATGGGTGGATCTCTTATGCACTATGCATAATTAAAACGATCTTTTTTGTTGAGTTAGAGTTCGAATGCTGAATCGGCAGTGACTGATCTCCATATGTTAGATACTTCATAAATATGGCACTTCCGGCTGATGGTGCTGAAAAGAAAGCAGCATCGCTGTGCAATCAGAGTACAGCATAATTGGTCACAAACCCTTATGGTTAAGGCGCTTTTGCACGTAGGTCTAAAAAGTAAGACTAATTTCAAACGAAAACAAAAAACAGCAAATGGTGAGTAACGATCAAATAACAGTATCGCACGACAATGAAGCTCGATTGATTAATGCTTTACAGTTCTTATCTGAATGCGACAGACACTCAGTAGCCTCCCTTGCCTTAGATGATTGATGTCCGTCGTACAGAGGTTCCTCGAATACTTTAGGCATTGAAAGCTTTTACCAAAGCCATGCTTTCAATCGCCATTAGATCTGATTCTTGTGGATTTATCAAATTCCAAACTGGCCTCCTCTTTTTCTACGCCCCTTGGTTGACCCCAAAACTCGTTTCTTTCACATAACATTTCAAGGGCATAATTCATGAAATCGAAATCGTGTCATGACAAGAAATGGGAATATTTGATATGGTATGATATTACAAAGCATGAACAGAATGTATAGAGTAATAGTTTTAACCAGGAAAAACCGAATGACAAAAAACAAATACAAAATGATGATAATCACAGACAGCATAATAAGCCATGCTACAGTGAGCAAAATCTAATGACGCTGTTAAGCATTTAATAGAGTCCGCGCGCTGAACATTATGTAGATTACATAGGAAAAAGCTCCGCACCGGCAGAACTATCGATTGATGCATGAATGCAAAATACCTAGAAAGCATATCATGTAAAGGATATAAAACCATTCTGAGGAATTTATTTCTCATTCGCATTCTATGGGCAATCGCTGAATCTATGTCCAGCGAGTACAGAAAAGTATTTACTCCTGAGCTGCTATGAAAGCTTGTCATGAACCGCAAAACGGCTAGCTCATGGGGTACTTATAACATTGACAAAGCTTCTAGCGCCTTTTAAAATTAGGCGGAAACGCTCTGATTGCTGGCCCGGGTGGAAAGATTATGGACCTCCGTCCGGATTAATCCCAAAAACACTAAGTCCTACCACATCGCATCTGCCCTTTAATGAGAAGAATGGAAATTGCTAACAATGCGTTATTAATGATATCAGTAATAGAAAATATGGCACCATTTAAGCGACTTAGATGGTCAAGGTCTGAAATAGTACCTGTAATAACACTGCTAAAGCTCTCACATGAATATGCATATTCCTCTAAACAACAGTTAACGTTTGCTACGTCATGAGTGACAAGAAGATATCATAGATTGAATGTTTCAGTCTAGTATGAAACTCTGAAGTCAGAAGCCTATATTTTCAGTTACGAACTGAAACTATATCTCAAAGAATTCATAAAATGACTGGTGTTACAAAACGTCTGCTAAGCTTTTTGGGCGCAGAGATGAGAAAGTATACTAGTTTGATCTTGGAAGTATTTCAGATGCACCGGATGGGAGAAATATTATTTAAAATATTATTTGCCTAGATTCTCAGGAATGTCACAACATACTAATGAAATCTTAATGCACAACTCCTCCAAGATCCAATTTCACGGCATATTCTACCGATCGGCCTGGTTACGGAGTTATATAAGCATTCCACAGCCGCACGGTATTTGAGTACTTGCAGAGCTAGGTAAAGAGCGCATCTTTTCCCTCCGTAGAACAGCCTCGTTCTCATCATTAACGATGTTTCATAAGCTGGTTCTTCGTATGATGGATGTATGTAGCATAGCACTGCTGGCTCTTAAATACCTTGAAGACCTCGCTCTAACATGCTTAAATGGTGTACTTGAAAACCAAAAGATGGAGGTAGTGCAATACGCCAGAAGTTCGGTCAGGAGTGATTATGCACTATGTAGCATAGTACTGCTTAAGAATTCATCTAGCTGTTTTTGCAATAGCATATAAGTTTCCATGATGATTCATAGTAAACAAAAACTTTGACAGTTTGTTCATAGGTCAGACGTTGCAGACAAATTCACAGTATTATTCAATGAACGGGATTTTCTGGCCAAACAATTCAAGTTCGTAGCTATTTCAGGCAACGGTTGCCTCATTAACAGTGAGCATGTCATTCTCATTGCCATGAATCCTGAAAAAGACTGTCAAGAACATGTGATAAGTTCCAGTTGGCACTGTCAATAATTGGGCATGTGGCCAATATAAATGTCCCCCCCCCCCACAATAAAAATCATGCACTTCGTCATTGCCAACAGTAGTTGTTTTCGCGCACAACTGTGAACGAATTATCAGGAAAGCATTTCATCAAAGTGTCATTTCTGTCATGCTGAAAATCCACGACACGTTCGTCGATCGACGGTGTTTATCGAAACGGCGATCATTTGGTGATATACGACCCTTTGGCATGGATTCTGTGGATTGGAAGAACATCTTCCTACTTGCGCTTGTTTCGTGTATGTGACGTCTTCTTAATGGGCTCTACTGATTGACAGTTACTCGTCGATGTCGAATTCCCGCAGTCGGGCATTTGTCAGTCGAAGACGTCGATGAAAGCGCGGTGCCGGTGGACATCAAATAAATCATTTGCATACTCCATACTTCTCCTACTACCTCCTGTAAGCAATAACCGTCGATTGGCATTCGTTCAAAGGTAGGCATTTTGCGTTTTTATAAAGAGCATATATTGATCGAAGGATATGATGCAGCATAAATGACGTGTGGAGACAGAAACGTGGTTCTGGAAAAAGATTGCTGATGCGATGAGATGAGACAAGCATCGAAATCCGGATATCAGAGAAACTCTACCATTTGGGTGGTTCCATTTTCAGATTAGGAATTTACAGTTTTGGGAAGGTTTAAATACTCTCGGATCAGAAAGCCAGAGAATATATATTCTCAAGGCATTATCGTAAGGCGAGTGAGGACCAAATTACTAGAAAAGATCGAGTATCTGACACCGTTGCAATGTGAAATCTAAACCGTGAAGCTTGCCTTATTGTCAAGCAGCACAAGGTGCTGAAAAAATTTCTTTAAGCTGCTGACCCCAAGCTGAGAAGCAATAACAGGCTTTGAAAACAGATGGATGATTCCTTAAAAAAAGCGAGTAGCAAATGTAAATCTTCTGTTCGTTTGCAGTAGTTGTTGTTTTGGTTACACGGCAAAATTGCGTGTTAAAAACAAGACCATTACTGGCATCGAAATAATTCAACTTAATTTGCTTTTACTATAATGATAAATTGAGTATTTAGTTCGTGTGTTGGTGATCAAACCGAAAACTGCATTAAAACATGTTTATTCATACAATACTGGCATTGTTCAAAGGGGGACAGGGTTGATTTCCGAAGTTCGTTCTGTGGTCCGTAGCTGTTTTAACGTTTGGAGCCAAAGGATTA